TCATGATTCCAAGGTGGTAATCTAGAAAAACAAAACAAACAAAGCTAAACTAAACATAAGTGAATAAAACTCAATGGAATAATATTAAATATAAGATTAAGATATTAATTAAAATAGTTAATGAAATTATAAATTAAAATTTTACTCGACATCTACTTGAGTGCTTGCGTTTGTTAAGCTGAGTACACATAAGCTATTATTAAAATAATATTATAGGTTTCTTTGAGAAACTAGGTGAAATTGAGATACTAAAGTTGATACAAAATAATAAAATAAAAAATAGTTTAAATGTAATATTTAGCAATATTGCAGTGTCCCTTCGCTAGACTGACAAACTCCCGTGAGTCTTGTCAGATTGTTACTAGCTTCGGTAGTAGCGACTCCAATTACAGGGCCCGTAATCTGAACTTTACCCTACGAGATGTCACGAGACTTGGACACAGAGCACGGAGTAAATTCTGGTTTAAATCTTGCTTTAATCTTGAATACTGGTAGCTAGCGTTCGCTAGATAGTCTCTTGACTAGCATGAGGCAAGATCGATACTAGGAGAGTGGTTTCTAAATCTCTAATGATTCTCAGGTCTATTTATATGATAAGCTTGGTTACAAGATTCTTTTATTACAGGTAATGAATACATTATTAACTAACAGATCCATAATCCGTAAAACTCAAAATCTCAAAATATTTCCAATTTAAACATTAAATGATTTGTTTCCTTAAACAATTTTGTTAAATTTTCTCCCATTATATTACGCTCACCTTAAGAGCAAAGCCTCCTGGCTGCAAAAAGTCAAAAGTTACAATGAAGAAAACAACTGAGCACTTTCTTAGCTATCACGTGACGCAACCAAATCCATTACCAGAGCAGGCTAATCAAAAGCCCTCAAGGGGATGCAAAAAAATTGAAAATGTTCAGAGTTATTGGTGTTCCACTGCTGTCTGCAAAATGTCTAATTTCTCTTCGAAGGAGAGTCCTCGAAGCAAAGGTGCATCCGCTAGGTCCCTTACGTCTTCGCACAGGCGCTGCTGTAATATCCGCGCAATCGGTGCGCCTTTGGTTGCGATGGCGGTGGTCTGGCAAGTCCGTAGTCGAACCTCCATGTAGAAAGTGCCAAACATGGCCTGGAGATAATTCTGTGCGGCGCCGTCGGGTTCCCACATTAACCCATGCAGAGAGTTCTGATAAAGGTAACTCTTCATCATTGCCGAGGTGCTCAGTGGTTCCACACGGAAGTACTGCGTCTTTTGAAGCTGCAACTTCTTGCAGGACATGGTAACTCGGCGCAAATAGAACGGCTGGCTGCCATGTTGGAATCYGTCAACAACGATGACAATATTGCAAGACATCTTTGAAGGAACTTGTTGAAGGAACTTGTGAAGGAACTAAGATACTGCAGAACACAATGGTGATCTGTAGGTTCACGGTGCGGCTTAAATATCAAAAGACGAAGACAGAACACGTGCGTTCCGAACAATAACAAAAAGTTAATTAAAGAAATATCTCTGAAGTCTAGTTGATTTGAAAAAAAAAAATTAAATGAAAGGTTGTCAAGATTAGGTGTTACCCTTGCAGCTCGAGACCACATAACCTCGGTGGTTGCGGGGCAACAGCATAATTGATGTGCCGACGCCGAAAGACGCAACCCAAAATAATCATTACCAATGTGTTAATTCCTGCCAATGCAGCAGCGAAATATGTTAATATAACATTGGCGGTAGTCTGGGTTGTTTCATGAATCGTATCAATTTTGAGGGTGGTTTTATTAAACTTCAA